GGGCACACGCACAGCCGGGAACCACACGCGTGTGCAGGTGCGTGGATGTGCAGGTGTGTCGCGCATGTCCGTGCCTTGCCCGTGTGCGTGCAAGCGCCGCCCTCCCCGGCCCGCCCCCCGGTTGCGGAGCGCGGAGCTCGGGGCGGAGAGCGGTGAGGGGCTCGGAGCGCGGAGCGGTCGCTCCCGGTGCGGGCCCGCCATGGCGTGGCCCTGCATCACCCGTGCCTGCTGCATAGCCCGCTTCTGGAACCAGCTGGATAAGGCGGACATTGCCGTCCCCCTCGTTTTCACCAAATACTCGGAGGCCACCGAGCATCCCGCCGCGCCCCAGCCGCGCCCCGCGGCCCCCATCGAGACCCAGCCCGGCGGCGAGGCGGCTGCGGGGGCCGGAGGCAGCGAGCCGACTCCCGGTCCCGCCCGGCCCGGCCCGGCCCCGCACGCCTCTCCTCCGGCCGACTCGGTCATGCGGCACGACTACAAGCCTTGGAAGGTGCAGCGGCCGGAGCCGAGCTGCAAACCCAAGAGCGAGTACCAGCCCTCGGACACTCCCTTCGAGAAGGAGACGCAGTACCAGAAGGATTTCCGTGCCTGGCCCATCCCCAAGCGGGGCGACCATCCCTGGATCCCCAAAGCGGGACCTTCCCCCGTCCTGGCCCTGGACCGCGCTCCCCCGGAGAAACCGGCTCAGGAGAAGCGGCGGAAGGTGCACCTCGCTCCCGAGAAGAAGGAGGAACACCCCGAGGTGGAGGATGAGCATCCCAAAGCAGTGCGGCCCGGGGATGGGAGAGAGAAGGGTCGGAAGAGGCCGGAAGAGGCGGGCGGGCAGCCGGCGGAGCCGAGCAGAGGCCGGGCGGCTGCCGATGCTGTCAACAGGCAGATCAAAGAGGAGGTGGCGGCGGGGGTCAGCTCGTCCTACAGGTGAGAAGACATCTCCCCGTCCCCACCCCCATCCATCTAGATCCCCAGTCTGCCGCGCCCTTGCCAGGTCTTATCTAGTCCCTCTTTGCGCTTCCCCGGAGGAGCATCCCACCCTGGGAGTGAGGCTGTGAAACATTCCAGGGGGGGCTTGCAGATTTCCTGCCGGGGGGTGGGGGGGGTGTCCTTAAATTCCCTATCTCTCTGGGAATCGATGATGGGGCAGTAGGTATTGTGCTATTGTGGACACTTTTTGTCGGCGGGTTTGGCAGCGGGTTTGAGTGCCTTTGTGTCGTGCCGTCGTCCCCACCCCACTCCCCCGCCGCCACTGCATTCCAAAATTCAGAGACAGCCGCCACCTTGGATTTCCATAGGGGTAATGTTTAGGATCACCTCCGTGGGGATGTGCAAATCGCCTCTAGTCCTTTCCAAGCACATCCCTGGCTGTATTGCTAGAGCCAACCCAAAGGATCAGCAACCTGACCAGATCTCAGGGGGGCCATGCACGAATGGGATGCCCCACACGCAGGAGCATCCCAGGAAGCATCTCAGGCTGGCCCGTGCTCAAGACAAAGCATCCCAGCTATGCGCCAGGATGAGGGATCTGTATCCTAGGCCGCTTGGGTGGGGCAGCCTTGAGATGCTGCCATGTTTTAATGCAGCGCAGCAGGGGATGACACATCTTTCTGTCTCCCCCTAACAGCTCCCCAGCCAACTAGAAATGGATGCCCTTATTTCACCTCAGCAGTAGACTTTGTTGGGGATTCAGAGTGTGAAACTCCTTGCAGTGAGCTGCTGTTGTTTTTTCTCTCTGGGTCAATGTTCAATGTGTTGGGAATGCAGAAACAGAAGTGATGGGGTGGTTGCCCTGCATGTACGTTTTGCAAGGAGGGTTTGCTGCGGTTGTGTTTTCCAGTGCTTTCTTTGTCAGAGCCCACCACTGCCGAGACCAGGGTGAGGGTAGCATAGAGCAAAGCTGGGGGTTGTGGTGACAAAAGTGTGATTGCAGCCTTTTTGCTTTTCCCTATAGCTGTGTGAATGCTGAGGTGTTTATGCCTTTGAATTATTTATTTTCCTTTCTGGGGAGATTAGAGGTGGCAGCTGTGACTTGACTTCTCTGTCCCACTGGTGGTGCAGAAAAGCTGTCAGTCATCTGCTTTCCCCCCTATGTAAGTGGGAAACACTTCAAGCAATGAGATCTTGATTTCTGCTGTCTTTTGGCATCAGCTCTCACTGGATATTGCTGGGGGCTCAGGTGCGTAGAGTTGTGACTTGGTGCTGAGACACAAGAAGATGGCCAGGGATTTTTGGGGCCTCTGTTTTGCAGGGGTGGAGAGTGCGGGGAAAGGGGTCTCTAGGAGTGACACAGCTCTTAAATCTGCTGTGAACTGAGACTCAGCTCTTTGTCTGCTCCTCTGGGCTTGTGCTGGAGATAGCAGGTCTAAAGCAGAAAGTTCCCCTGGAACTGGAAAGCCGATGTGTTGCTTCTCTTCCACTGCTACAAAGGATAATTAGATTTCTTTGCATATTCAAATGCAGATTGCTTACCTTCCTATCCCTCCAGTCAGCTCCAGCAAATTCCTAAGGCAGTGGGCTAGGATTCCCCCTCAAGGAAAGGGGTTGGATGAGCAGGGATGTTAAACCTAAGAAGAACTAGAAGGATTCAGCTTTCTTTGTGTTGCTTGTTGGCTTTCACAATACTCTTAGGCCTTCTCTTTCCACTTGAGAAAGTGTTCTCCCACTTCCATGTTTTTCTTCCTTGCCGCATATTGCAGAAGTGTTTGCTCTGACGCTCAGCCATAGAACATAAGCACCTCTTCATTAATGAATAAGTGATGTTTTGGCTAATTGTTCTCATTTTCTGTTCAAATTAGGCATCTTCTAAGTGCTGTTTATTGTTTGCGTTCTTTTTAAAAACCAAATTCTCCAAATCCTAATTACTGCCAAGATCCTGTCTGCTGACATACTCGGTGGGTATTGAACATCTCCAAGGATGGAGACTCTCAGCCTATTGGAGCAACCTTATGGGCCACCCAGGAGCCAAAAATTACCTCCTAATGAACTCTTGCTAGAAAGGAGCAAGGATGGCTTACATGGGGCTTTTCTTCCTTGTGCATGGATCAAGGCTCTCCATCAGCAGAGAGTGGAGGGGAGATTTCCTTAGATGCAAATCAGTGTTACCAAGGCTGAGAAACAATTCCTTGGTGAAACCAAAGAGCAAATCAGCAATAGTTAAGCTCACTCTGTCCCACTGGGTGTTATTTCCATGTGAGGAATACCTGAGAGCATGGGATAGAGTAAGCAACTAGCCCAAGGTCATGGGGGGAAGTCCATGCTAAAGGGAAGAATTCTCTTTTTTAACCTTTGTGTACCTAGACAGATGAATATCACAAAGACCATGTGCCTGTGACCTCCTCCCAGGTCCACCCAGAGGTACACAGCAGAGGTGGTGCCTGGTGGTGATGTCCATGGAAGATGGAGGTTCCTCCCAGCCAGAGGAATGAGTGATTTGTTTGTATTAGCATTTGAGCCAGAAGCCTTCAGTGAGGCCAGAGTGGCAGGACTGTGGATGTCTGCCAGAGACTGCCTGTGCCCAAGGATCCTACAGAAAAAATAGGATTTATTTCCAATATTTCTAGTATTTCTTTATCTCGTTCATAGTATTTGCATTATTTATATATTTATATTTAGATATTTATTAATGATAATTTATTAACTGTTCAGTTATATATGGGATTTATATATGTACTTATTCCCACTGCTCTCACTGGCTGTGCCGTGGTCAAGCAAGGTTCCAGCACTGAGGGGTTTCTTGCCTCAGTTTCCCTCCCCAGCATATGAGCTGCCCGAGTTTACAGGTTACCAAGGCAGATTACATCTCCTTCACCCCCCTCTTCTCTTTGGTCCTGCTTCTCAGGGTGGCCTGTGGACCCTGAGGGACCAAGGACTAGGGAATCCTTCAGTCAGGTCAGTGACTAGCCCCTTGGAAAGCTGCTGGTGGTGGATGAAGCAGTTTCTTGTTCAGTTCTGTGAGGGCTTTATCTGTATTGGGTGAAGGGATTTTTCCCCCTGAACTTCTGGATGGGGATGGGCAGAGCATTTCTCCCTACTGCACCAAAGGATGGAGGGGGCTGGACCTGACCCCAGGGATTTGGGACCAGAGAGAGGAAGTGACTAAATGTGCACACAGCGGCATTTGCTGATGGATGTGAAAAAATTAGAAGCACATTTGGCAAAAATAAAAGAAGGAATGAATGCTTTCCATTTTCATTTGAAAATTATGGGAAAATTACAGAATTAAGTGTTTCTTGGATGTTCCCCTCCTTTCTTTGTCTTACATTCTGCTTATTTTGTTACCTTTATTCCCTGAAGGAAAAAAGATACAAAAGGGAAACCATTTACTCCCTTTGTAAAGTATCGACATGAGTACTAAGAAAATTAATTTCCCCCTGAGGAGTAATATTACAAAACCAGATTTGAATTTTTTATTTTTTTTTCACCAAACCAAACCAATTATTCTTTCTCTCTCACCAACTTCCTTTCCTAGCAGAGGAAACAAAACAATATAGGCTTCAGTGGAAAATTTTGGACTGCCTCTAGTACTAATGAATTGCCTGTTGCTAATGCTCTGTCATTCATCTCAAACCCTGGAGTTACTAAAGATGTGGAGCAAATGAGAATTTGTAGTAGCTATAGAGACAAATGAGTCAGCACTGGAGACTTGCTGCATGGTTTTCAGAGATACAGCAGAGATAATTTAGGGAGGGATGTCCACACAGGAAGGCTGGACCAAGATAAAAAAGGGCAGGAAATTCATACTCTTCCTTGTTCTGAAGACCAGCTAGGGGAACTGGGGGTGTTCAGACTGGATAAGAGAAGGTTCTGGGGATACCTAAAGTGCCTAAAAGGGCTCCAAGAGCCAGAGAGGGACTTTGAGCAAGGGCCTGGAGAGGCAGAATAAGGGGAATGGCTTCCCGCTGTCAGAGGACAGGGTTAGAAGTGATATCAGGGAGAAATTCTTGGCTGTGAGGGTGGTGAGGCCCTGGCACAGGTTGCCTAGAGAAGCTGTGGCTACCTCATCCCTGGAAGGGTCCAAGGACAGGTTGGATGGGGCTTGGAGCAGCCTGGTCCTGATGGCTCTGAAGATGGACATCCCACTAGACAAGCCTGGGACATGTTGGTAATGCCTCTGTGATAACATTCAAGAAGAAAATCAAAACAAAGTGGGGCACAGTTTTTCTATAACCAGAGAAGAGGAGGAGGTGAGACCATGTGAGAGAGACAACATGGAGACACCAAGGTAAGTGGAGAAGGAGGAGGAGGAGGAGGTTCTCCAGGCACCAGAGCCGAGATTTCTCTTCAGGCCATGGGGATGACCATGGTGAAGCAGGTTGTCCCCCTGCAGTCCATGAGGATCTGTGGGGGATGCAGAGATCCACCCACAGCCCGTGGGGGAGGTACCAGCACCAGAGTGGGTGGATGCCTGGCGGAGACCAGTGAGAGATCTGGTAGAGAGAGGGGACCCCTGCTTCCAGGCTGGAGCAGCCTGTCCTTGGAGGACTGTGCCCCATGGAAGAGTGACCCACGCCACAGCAGTTTTGGGAGGAATGTTTTCCCATGGGAAGGACTCACACTGCAGCAGTTTTGGGAGGACTGGTGATCGTGAGATTGGAATGATGCTGGAGAAGTTCACAGAAAACTGTCTCCCATGGGAAGGGACCCCATAGTGTATCAGGGGACGGATTTCTCTCCCTGAGCAGTGGAAGATCTTGGGTGATGAACTGACCAAAGCCCCCACCCTCTGTCTTCCTGATCTGTCGATGGGAAGCAGGGAGAGGTTGGGGTAAAAAGGTATTTTTAAGGGCTCATTTTACTTCTCATTATCCTCCTCTGACTTTGTTAGTAATAAATTCACTTTGTGAATTTAGAAGTTCTAAAGTTGAGCATCTTTTGCCCTTGGAATGTTTTCTCTCAGTCCTTAACTCATGAACCATTCATTTAAT